TGTGCTAAAAATACTTACCCTAAAGTTAGGGTACGTGCAAGTCATATGAATTGGTACGTGTCCGTAGATCGTCCCGACAAAATCGTCACTCGTGGATCACGTGTTTCGGGTCTAACAATATGTGCCTAAATTATTTTTTGGCTTGCCGCAAATAAAATTGACAAATATTTTAGGCAGCCTATCATGTTATCAACAGCAGAGTTCCAATCCATTATCTGTTTATCCATCCATTTATCTATCGGATATCCAGATCTGAACATATTCGTATTGATATCCGGATAAATTAATATTTGCCGGATTATCCGGATAAATTCAGTCCCGAACTTGTAGGTCGTTACACGATTAATTAAAGGTTTTTTTTATACGTTTTATTTATACGTTTTATAATACTTTTTTAGAGATTATCCTTTCTATGAAATGTAAACGAATGTACTAAGCAAACTTGAAGCTTTACATTATATTCACTAGGAACGGAGTGATGAAATCTCGTAGTGTATGGCTTATATGGTGCTTTAAGTGGTATCCGTCCGCAAAATCTTAAGTTTGATGGGCCGCATGACTTATTCATCAAATTTTGGTTATTTTTCACATATGAATTCATCACGCATATAGATCAACGTGCATTCGTATAACTAATTACGGAATATAACTTGAATACAAAAAATGCAAACGTAAACGATGTCGTAGTTGCGATAACTAACGACAGTAAAAAAAGGAATTTTCGACACAAAAATTGTAATCGGTGCAAATTTATTTGCGTATTTACCTGATATTTGACATTTTTTGTTTTTTTTTTCGTAGGATTTTTCATTGGGTTGATGTAATGATAATCGCTGATCGTCAAAGACGAAAGAAATTCGTTTTTTTGGATAATCGGGTGATCGTTGAATTAAAGGATATACGTAACGATTATGAACGATTTAAAATATTACACGGCTTCTTGATTAAGGATGGCTCCGAAAGTAAGTACTTTCGGTACCTACCGAAACCGAAATTATACCGAAATTATACCGAAATGTCCGAAAGTTGAAAGTCTTACCGAAAGTTTCGGTAGGATTTTCGACTTTCGGTAGGACTTTCGGTACTTTCAGTAGGACCTTCAGTAGGCTTTCAGTACTTTTGGTAGGAATTTCGATAAAAGTTTCGGTAAGACTTTCGACTTTTGGTTTTGTACTTTCGGCAAGTCGAATTTACCGAAACTATTTCGATACGCCTAAAGTAATTTTGGAGCCATCCTTATTTATGATCGGTATTACGAATAGTAGTGGTGTATGGTTTAGTAAAGTAGTGGAGTATACGCATTTGAGTATATAAAATTAGCATACTATACTCATAATATAGTATATATTAAATAGTCTGGAAGAACATTATCAACTATGGCTGGAAGGACATAAATTACACTGATATTTTCGGAATGTAAATTAATGTTCTTGTGGTTTGTACAATTTAATTTAAAAACTACAAGTTTTGACGCCAAATATCTTCAAATATACTCATACTTATGTTTGTTATTACATATTTTATCAAGTCATTACATTTTTTCAACAACTTCAAAATTGCACTTAATCGACTTCTTCACCAAACGACTCCGCGATTTGCAAAATTATTGTCTCATGGGGGTGATGACATCACTCAACAATCGCAATTGCAATCACAATCGTTCTAAAGTTTGTGCGAAGATATCTCGAAAATCACTTGATTAATTTCAATGGATTTTTTTTTTTACTTGAATTCTATGGATTCATAAAATTCAAATAAAAAAATCCATTGAAATTAATCAAGTGGTTTTCGAGATATCTTTGCAGAAACTTTAGAACGATTGTGATTGCAATTGCAATTGTTGAGTGATGTCATCACCCCCTTGAGACAATAATTTTGCAAATCGCGATAATTGGGTTTCGAATAGTGCAATTAATTGCCATCACAATCAATTATTGATTCTAAAGATAAATTTGATTAATAAATAATAATCTTGATCAGTTTTAAAAGGAACAATAAACATGAATTAACTTGTTCAAATGATATTGAATTATTAAGTATACAAATTCTACGTGTTGCATAGAGGTTTCGCCAATGGCGAATGGCGAAACCTGGTTTAGACTTTCGCCAAAAAAAATTTAAAAAGACGAAATGGCGAAAGGTGGCGAAACTGGCGGAAGGTGGCGAAACTGGCGAAAGGTGACAAAACTGACGAAAACTGGAAAAGGGCATTTTGTCTTTCATCAAGTAGGTGTTTAGCAATAAATACAATGAAATACAATTATGGGTATTTGCCTCTGTTGCTTTGTGCAAACCTCTTAGAGCAATGCAGAATTCAAGAGTATCATTAAAGTGCAAATAAGGCTAAAGTGCAAGTAAAAATACTAATAAAAGCACATAAGTGAAATAAACATGTCAATAAAGCATACCAGGTGCAATGTTAATCTGAATGCAAATTTTTCTGTGACTATCATCCTGATAGGTCACTTACACTAGATCTGATTGTTGTTCAACAGGTCAAAATCGATCCCATTGAGAATAAAAAAAAACAAGCAATTTTTGTAACTGTTGTCTGACATATAGTTGTTAGGTGAAACTGTTTTTCACAAATGTGAAGCATGAAACTGGCAAAACTAAGACAAGTGGCAAAACCCTTGGTGAATAGTGAAACCCTCAGAAAAAGATGAAGTTCAAGCTCTTAGCAAGTTTAATTCTCTAAGATTTTGAAAAGACTAAAAAATGAAATATTATATGTATTTATTGTAAGACCTAATAACATGATGAAATTAAAATGTCAGGATCTCATGTAAGAGCAGGTATGGCAATCAATTCCTTGATATGGATATTCTGAATTAATTCAATATATCAAGGAAAGGGATTTAATAGTGAAGAGGAATTTATTAAGTATAAGGGTTTAGATGGATAAATTAGAAAGATCAAATAAAATAAAGAAAATAGAGAAGCAAGATTAATGTAATTAAATAAGTCATAGTTAGAAAGATAATATAAATAAAGATTGAAATGGTCCTTAGAGAAAAAAAGAATGTCTTATTTGCTTTATTAATAAACAAGTTTTAATATATTGTATTATCTATAATAAAATCCTAACACTATATCCAGTATAAACCTTGTAAACATCTATAAACATCATCATTTATCAAGTTCTTGTTCAAGTGACTTATATATTTATTTCCTTCAATTCAAGTAACCAAAAGCTTAATTACCTATCAGCCAAATCTAACACCTTTTTTGAAAAGGTTATCTATCATATTGTAAGAACGGATTTAGATAGAATTTATATAGAATTAATAAACGAATAGTAAAGTAAATACGACTGCAAAGCACAAACTACTTA